TTTTTAAAAAAAAAACATAGTTTAATTTATTATGATAGTTTGAAATTTGTTCTTGTACTAAACAGTTTTTTTTTTCTACATTCACTTTGGGTTTGCGTCACCAATTATCATATTTATTTATATCACCTCTCGGCACACCTCGGCCAATTCTTACTGGCAACGGAATCAGCAAAGGTTTGTCGCATGAGATTATTTAGCACATGTATGCTGACGATGCAGTGTGGTCAATTAAAGTCATTTGTGTTTTAATTGGATTATATGGATTATATTTCATGAATTCGTTGTCACGACCTATGACATTCGGTAAGTACAAGATTTAGTATAGATTGCATAAAAATAAATAAATGCAAATGGTTAGGTTGAAGTTCAAAAATGGTCAACATGGTCAAAGATCATTGCATGCCACAGTCGACAAATTTCACATTGTCAAATTATCTCCCGTTGCGGACATTCAATGTATAACAGAGGCAGATCCAGAATCTTTCTTTCAGAAAGGGGGGGGGGTGTCACACCTCAGTCAAAAAAATCAGCCCAAGATTTCCTGAGATGGAAATAAAAAATAACAATAATAACAATGATGGTGGAGTCCCTGTTTTCTAAGGGGGAGGATGTCCAAAGTCATTTTTATTCTCTACAGTACATATATAGTCTTATTTAAATAACTGATAATTCCAGGGGGGGGGGGGGGGGTCTAATCTCCCTGGCCACTGACTCCCTGTACCTGAAATGACAATTGATCTTATGACTCCATAATAGTAGAAAATTTTTTCAATTGACTATTTATACATATTTTGTTTCCTATGTTTATGTGTTTTTCTCTGTTCACGGAAACTTTAACCTTGCCCATATTTTTAAAGTGGATTGGGCTATACACATGGCTTCAATATTTCATAGGTAAATTTCTTTTGGCAAAACCTTTTAATGGGTACCACCAATTTTGACCTCTTGATCTCTTGACCTTGAACTTGGCATAAGTTTTAAACAGGTGGTGCTAGGACTTTCATGCTCTTACATATGTAATCATTGGGAACTTTCAACAGGTATAATTATTTTTGACCTAGACCTTAGAGTTGAATCCAATTTAACTTTAACCTTGGCAATAACTTTTGAACAGGTAAGGAAGTTCTAGGGATTTCTCCCTTTTTTCACATGTGTATTCCTTGTGACAAGACTTTCCCTTTGATACCAACAATTTAGACCCTTTGACCTTGACCTTGGAGTTTGACTTACATTTGAGAAACTTCAACCTTTGCAAAAAGCTGCCATAACAGTTGCTGTCACAACAAACAAACAAATTACAAAAAAAACACAGAATACATGTACATATTTTATTTTCAACAGATATACATCTGGTCATTTCTCTAGTTCTCCCTTGAATGAGACATGATGATATAAATTTCAAAAAATAATTATAAGAGTTGAAAAGGTTGTGCATATTGAAATATACTAAGCTCTGCAGATGAATTAGATATACCAGTTTAGCTTTATTTTGCTACCCAAAGCACCTTGATTAACTATTTATAAGCATACTGTTTTCTGAAATGTACTGATTTCTGTTGTCCATCTGTTTATCTGCAAACTTTTCACATTAACTTCTTGAGAACCACTGGGCTAATTTCAACCAATTTACATTTAAATATGCAGGGTACTTTTTAAGCGCCCGGATCGATAGATCCCGGGCGTATATTGTTTTTGTCCTGTCTGTTTGTCTGTTTATCTGTTTGTCTGTTTGTCAACTTTAACCTTGGCCATAACTTTTGAACAATAAGGGATAGAGACTTCATATTTGGTAAGCATACTCCACTAATAAAGTGGATAATAATAAAGTAATAAAGTCAAATGATTTCAAGGTCAATGACCTTGTGACCTTGACTAAGACTTATATGCTAAAAAAAGCTTTTTCCACTGTTTTCATAACTTTCGAACCATAGGAGATAGGGACTTCGTATTTGGGATGCATACTCCACTAAAAGAGTCCTTTCAAATGACATTAAGGTCAATGATCTTGTGACCTTGACTGTGACCTATATGCTAAAAATAGCTTTTTACACTTTTTGCCATAACTTTTGAACCATAGGAGATAGGGACTTCATATTTGGTATGCATACTCCACCGATTAAGTTCTTTCAAATGACACCATGGTCAATGACTTTGTGACCTTGACTGTGACCTAGGTTTATTCTAAAAATAGCTTGTGTGTCTGTCTGTCTGTTTGTCATAACTTTTCAGCAACTACCATAGAAATTTTAACACAATCTTCTCTAAGGCATGTCATAGGGACTTCGATATTAATTTGGTATGCATACATAACAAACCGATAAAGTCCTTGAAATTTCAAACGACGGCAAGGTCAATGATCTTGTGACTGTTGACTGTGACGGATCATGCTAACAAAATAGCTCTTTAGCAACTTTTTTGCTTGAAATTTTAACACAATCTTTTTGAGGCAACATATAGGAGATACTTCCTGTTTGTCTGTGTTTTTGGGACTTCATATTATTCATAGCGGATGCTTGAATACTCCACTGATTAATTTTGATATAACCATGGTCAATGACCTTGTGACCTTGACTGTGATCAATATGCTAAAAGAAGATTTTTTTTCACAGATTTCTTGTTTTTGTTGCCGCTGGGCGTGTAGTGTTTCACAAACACATCTTGTTCCAACATAAATCTTCTTCTCAAGAACAGCAAAGACATTTATTGTCCCCAGGTAGGGTACTTTAAATCTCATTTGTTTGACAATCTGCCCATCTGTCACAATAAATTTAACCTTGGTCATCATGGTCGTATATTTTGAATGAGAAGAGATAGGACTTTTAAATTAAACATGTGTATTAGTATTAAATAGGACAATACCATTCTACATACACTATGATTTTCATTACCCATGATCTTGAAGTTTGACCTAATTTCCTTAAAAAAATTAATTGCTTTGAATTGATCATTTTGAAAGATAAATGAAAGGGCATTCATATTACCTTTGATAAGACCTTCCAAAATGTATCATGACTTTTTGACTCTGTGACCTTGACCTTGAAGTTTAACTTAGTTTTCATTAATGTTGTATTTCCTTTTCATTGAGAAGAGATTTGACTTTCACATTTCAAGTGAACATTACCCATAACAAGAGGCTCCCAACATGCTATGATTTTTTACCCCTTGACCTTGATGTTTTAACAAAATTTCAAAAGAGTGAACTCTCCCAAAAGATGATAAGACCACTGTTTAAAACAAAAAAGGAGTTTAGGGAAGACTGGGCTGTTTCCATAAAAAACGTCATTTTTCAACCCTCATTTGACCCCCCGGGCAAAATCAAAATTCCGAAACCTAACTGCACATCTACATGACCCAACCAACCATCTCCCAAAGATGATTAGGATGCTGAATAAAATGTAAGAGGAGTTCAGGGAAGATGGGGCTTTTTCCATAAAAAACATCATTTTTCGACCCTTATTTGACCCCCCGGGGCAAAATCAGAACTCCGAAAGCTAACTGCACATCTGCATGACCCCACCAACCATCTCCCAAAAGATGATTAGGCTGCTGAATAAAATGTAAGAGGAGTTCAGGGAAGATGGAGATTTTGGCATAAAAAACGTCATTTTTCGACCCCCATTTGATCCCCCGGGGCAAAATCAAAATTCCAAAACCTTACTGCACATCTACATGACCCCAACAACCATCTTCCAAAAGATGATTAGGCTGCTGAATAAAATATAAGAAGAGTTCAGGGAAAACTGGGCTTTTTGCATAAAAACGTCATTTTTCGACCCCCATTTGATCCCCCAGGACAAAATCAAAATTCCAAAACCTTACTGCACATCCACATGACCCCACCAACCAACTCCCAACAGCTGGTTAGGCTACTGAGTAAAATGTGAAATGTAGAAGGAGTTCAGGGAAGACGGGGCTTTTTGGACAAAAAACGTCATTTTTCGACCCCCATTTGACCCCCCGAGGCAAAATCGAAATTCCAAAACCTTACTGCACATCTACATGACCCCACCAACCATCTCCCAAAAGATGATTAGGCTACTGAGTAAAATGTAAGAGGAGTTAAGGGGAGACGGAGCTTTTTGCTTAAAAAACGTCATTTTTCGACCCCCATTTGACCCCCCGGGGCAAAATCAAAATTCCGAAAGCTTACTGCACATCTACATGACCCCACCAACCATCTCCCAAACGCTGGTTAGGCTACTGAGTAAAATGTAGAAGGAGTTCAGGGAAGACGGGGCTTTTTGGACAAAAAACGTCATTTTTTCGACCCCCATTTGACCCCCTGGGGCAAAATCGAAATTCAAAAACCTTACTGCACATCTACATGACCCCACCAACCATCTCCCAAAAGATGATTAGGCTACTGAGTAAAATGTAAGAGAAGTTCAGGGAAGACGGAGCTTTTTGCTTGAAAAAACGTCATTTTTTCGACCCCCATTTGACCCCCTGGGGCAAAATCAAAATTCCGAAAGCTTACTGCACATCTACATGACCCCACCAACCATCTCCCAACAGCTGGTTAGGCTACTGAGTAAAATGTAGAAGGAGTTCAGGGAAGACGGGGCTTTTTGGACAAAAAACGTTCATTTTTCGACCCCCATTTGACCCCCCGGGGCAAAATCGAAATTCCAAAACCACGGACGGACGGACGGACATGAGTAACAACAATATACCCGAACTTTCTTTAGAAAGTGCGGGTATAATTATGGATAGAGCAAAGTAATTTCATAGGTCCCAGTGAATTTGCTATAACCGAGTTTTACTGTATTATTGTTAATACTAGTATTCAAGAACGTATTCACTTTTTTTCTTGTAGATGATCACTTCCACCTGATGTTTTTCCGGGTTCTTGTGAAAAGTGTTTCATCTGGCACCATTCCGCTACAAATACTTTGCCGATGGAACTGACATCAATCAAATGCTGATGACACTGATAATTCATTAATTGGAACAGAATTTCCTTTGGGAGAAACAAACTGTTTCAACATTTTTTACCTACAAGTTGGTACTGGTGAAATTTTGTTTGAAGGAAGCTAAAGGCTATGAGTACTAAAATACAAGCCAGATGAAATACAAAAGGGTTAATACAAGTCATTTAAAATTTTAATTTCTTTGCAGGTAGTGATGAGTGCACTGAAAGTTTTCTCAGGATCTCGTCCTACATCATAGGTACAACTGCATGGTCACTGTGCTTTCTTGGTTATGTAAGCAGGCATATTGTTAAGGCGGTGACATATGTAGCTCCAATTCCAAATGATGCTTGACTGTTTTCATTCCGTTTATAAGTAAACCTGGATTGACATGATGCAGTGATATAGAGCCATGTCATGTTTAATTTCATCTTCCCACTGTCACAAAGTACTGAAATAAAAGCGATTTTGATTTAAATATAATTTTTTTTGTTTTCATAGTATGTACATGTAACATAACATTCTACCGAAATTCAAATAAATCACAAATTAAATAAGATTTAAATGTAAATCTTTTGAAGATGAAGGTTTTGCTTTGTGTGAGTCTTTGCTGATAGGGCCACTTACCTTTAATAATGTCCTGAAAGGTGAGGTACATGGCTGGTCTTCATGCTGGATAAGTTCTCAATCAAAACAATCCATTGCAAGATGTGCAGACAATAACCTGTAATTAAGCAAACCTTTGTAACATGTCATTTGAATTTTGCATAGTTGTATGCACACCTGATAATAATTAGGTGTCTGAGGGTTATAAATCTGGCAAATATCTAATTGGCACCTTCTTCGTTAAAGCCGCTTAATCCGAAACAGGCACATATTATCCTACGCAATAAAAGTACGTCATTACATAGATAATATATAAAAAAAAATATAAGATGATTTTATAGTTTATTACAACAATCCTTACAAGGAAGAATAAATCAAAAACCTTATTGACAAACAGAAGTTCCTGACGGGAAGTTAATATCTGTTGTGAAGTCACCTTTGAAAAAAAACAAATTTATTGATTTTATCTAATTATGATTGAAGATAATTCAAACCCGAGTGTTTTTTTCCATTAGTAGAAGCCTATGTCATAATATATCTTTTAACAAGATGTGTTTGGGATACACTAAGCGCCCGGCGGCACCAAAATTCTAAAAAAGCCATTTTTAGCATACATGTCACAGTCAAGGTCATTGACCTTGGTGTCATTTGAAAGAAATTGATTAGTAAAGTATGGATACCAAATATGAAGTATCTATCTCTTGTGGTTCAAAAGTAATGGAAAAAGTACGAAAAAGATATTTTTAGCATAAAGGTCACAGTCAAGGTCACAAGGCCATTGACCCTGATGTCATTTGAAAGAGCTCAATTAGTGGAGTATGCATAAAAAATATGCAGTCTCTATCTTATAAGGTTCGAAAGTTATGGCAAAGGAACCAAAAAAATATTTTTAGGATACAGGTCACAATCAATGTCACAAGGTCATTGACCTTTGTGTCAATTGAAAGGGCTTAGTTAGTGGAGTATGCATATCAAATATGAAGTCTCTATCTTTCATGTTTCAAAAGTTATGGCGAAGGTTTATAAAGTTTGCAGACATACAAACAAACAGACAGACAGGACAAAAACAGTATAAGCCTCGGATCTATCAATCCGGGAGCATATTAAAAATTAATAAATTAAATGAATATAATCCATAGTAATTTTTATTAATCTGCATATTTAAAAGAATGAGGGAAAATCAGATATCTTTAAAGATTTTTTAAAGGAAGTTTAGTAACGAAGGCTAAAATACTGTCCGTGTACAGGTATAAGTACTTTGTTATGGAAAAAAAAATGCTCGGGTTTGTACTTCATGAGATAAAAGCGATAATTTAGATTTTTCTAAGGTGAGTTCACGCAATATCAACATAGGATTATTTTTTGTGTGATTTAACAAAATTTTTTTTTTAACTTTTGAATTTTTGATATCTTTTAAAAGAAAAAGACTTAGGGGATATAATTTGACAAAAGTTGAAACAGTTTATGGACAATTATTTTTCAAGAAGTGAAACGAATATATTTTTTCATGATTCGAATCGGACTAAGCTACTTTAAATTTCATCAATAATTTTACAAGAAAATCCAAATAAAAATGGTCATTTTTATACACATGCACAAAATTTTTTCAAGACATAATTTCTGATATAAAAATTGTGCATTTCTTATATCTTCATATTAAGGGTGCCCCTACCAAGGCCAAATATAAAAAAAATTGTTTGATGTACTCAGACCCGTCAAAATCATCTCTACCAATTAGCAATAATTTTTTTCAGCACTTCAAATTTTTTATTTTTTCCCCCTTATTTCCATGATAGATGGTTTAAAACGAAGGTGTAATTTTTTTCTAATTCTTGGATGCTTTTTGATTTATAAATATAATTTAAATCTGTTTATCTATAATTGATAATTGATTGATAATGAAAACATCAATAGATTTCCGAGTCTGTGATTTTTTTAATATGACAGTTATCAATATTAATTAGTTCAATACTGTAAGGCAAAAAAAAAAAAATTACCAACCAACCACCCTTGATAAAAGTGGGTTGGAGTACATCAAACAAAAAATATTTTAAATTATGGCCAATGATGACTATCGGTCTTATATTTGTTATTAAAAATAAATTCCATACATGTATATAAAATTATACATTTAATCTGTATACAAGGCTGTTTCACCCAATTTTAATAGTGAGGTAGGATGACAGTACAGATGTCAGTCATGGGTAAATGTCTAAAACCTTGGGGTGGGGGTTGAGGGTAAAGCATCACAGGACACAGCACATCTTTTTGTCATTTTATGATATATCATGTCTTGTATACGTGTATGAGAGTAAATTTTATTCATGTATAGGACCATTACCAGTTTAGTTTGGACTTTCAGTAAGGCATGGAATTCTCTCCATTACCTAATTAGCTTCTGAAATTAATTTACACAGCTTTCCTTCACTGATAAATTTAGTATACATAGGATAGAAATTTAGCCGCATATCAGCAGGTGTAGTAAATAGCCAATTAAAAGTTTTCTCACGGCACAGGTGGAGCATAAGTTGTCTCATCGTTGTTAACAACAATTTAAAGTTTTTGATGTTATTAATTTCTTAACCAATGAGAATTGGAATCTACTAGTATTTGCCATTATGTAGCGCAGAGAATGCCAGTCGCCCTACTGAAAGTCCAAACTAAGGTGAAAATTGTTATATGTCCTAGTACTAATATTTTGTTGCATCAATTTCATACCTGTATTTGATTTGCATTTTGAAGAATCTTGATCAAAGTCAGTTTAGTCTTAGGTACTGCTTAAAGCAGCTGCATCTCGCATCTGTCTTACTCAGCCCGGTTCTCTTGGACTTCTGCTATAGAATAAGTTTTAATCTATTTATGTTACTAAGATCAAGGAATAAGTTGCATGAAAAGACAGAATTTAACCAAATGCTGAACGTTCACTTTTTAATTAAGGAATTTGTTCATGTAAAAATTGTTATTGTAGTGATATGAATTTTGTTAAACAGCTGTTAAATGTTGAACACAGAGAGATAGCAAAATATATAATCATATAATCCTTCAAGTTGGGAAATAATGGCCACGAATATTCAATGCTCAATCGCCTCGATCCGCTGACATGCAACAGGTAAAACTTTACTGAAAAAAGTATTTTTAATAAATTATTTAACCAAACAAAAGTGATGCAGCGCCAGACCTGTTTACCCAAAACGTTGTCTCTCAGTATTTTTCTTAAGATTTGTCCGTGAGATTTGGCATTTGCCAGTAAGATTTCATTTTCCATCAATTTTACATATATTAAAAGAGAAAAACTGCTTTTCTGATTACGAAAACATTGTTTAACAACAAGGTCATTTTATAATACCATAGCGTTTTGGCAACCTGATATCGCTTAGGTGTTTGAAATTTTTCTCTTATTTAGCTATAAATAAAGTAAATCTACGACAGATCATAACGAAAACTAACTCTTAAATTCCAAACTAACTTGTTTCTGATTTCCGTATTTTCACAATGGCAAAACGTGAGACGTATTTTGGACTAAAAATCCGTAAAAAACATGGCGAAATCGTAAGAGTAAACAGGTCTGCAGCGCCAATATGACGTTTGTACCCATCAGGCACAGACAAAATTCCTCCTCTATAAATATAATCAGCTGACAATAACATCAGCCGTCCTCGGATTAAGGAAAAACCTGTAAACAAATTAACTCAAAAGATGATTTGGAAACTATTTCATTAGGATATGAAATAAAACACTTATTTTTTCGCTCAAAATAAAGACGAAATAGATGACATTCTCTGACTTGTTTACCTGTACTTTGATCGAAATTTTCCTCGTGGACACTCGCACCCAAGCTTTTATGACACGCAATTCATCCATCGTAAGTCGGAGAACCCTTCTGCTTTGTAAAACTACTTAACTTTTCCTCGAAAGCTGTGTATAAACCAAAAACATGCTTAACTCAAAACACAACTCCATACACGGAAGTCGCAAGTCACGTGACGAAAACGAAAGTGAAAGTACATTGAGGGACCTAGGGAGCTGTTGTTATTTCATAAATAATTTGAATAGGTGATATTACCTATTCGAATAAGTGATATCACCTATTCGTGCTGAATAGGTGATATCACCTATTCGAATAAGTGATATCACATATATTCGAATAGGTGATAACGCCTATTAATTTGAATAGGTGATATCACCTATTCGAAAAGGGGATATCCTCTATTCAGCACGAATAGGTGATATCACTTATTCGAATAGGTGATATCACCTATTCGAATGAGTGATATCATCTATTCGAATAGGTGATATCACCAATTCAAATTGAATAGGTGATATCACCTATTCGAATAGGTGATATCATCTATTCGAATAGGTGATATCACCTATTCAAAATCTGAATAGATGATATAACCTATTCGAATAGGTGATATCACCAATTGAATAGGTGATATCACCTATTCGAATAGGTGATATCACTTTTTGGCAGTAAATACCAAAACGGCGCCTCATACATGTACTATATAATGTCATGCTCTACATCAGCTGATGGACAAAATTTATATCTATACTATCTGAGGAAGATTACATAAAATTTGTTTTGCTGTTCTTGAAAACATCTTTTTGTTTTTGCTACATGTTTGATCCCCTGTTTATTTAATTTAATTTAATCAATATTTTATCATTACTATATTTATGTCAAATTACATTACGTGTAAATACATGTAATATGTTCACACATCAGGCATTGCCTATTTGATCCTCTCCAATCATGATCTCTAGAGCCCTCAAAATTATTAAAATCTCGTTTAATATGAATTTTTGATCTTTTTTTTTAAAGAAAGATTTTTCCAGCAAATACAAGTATACATGCACAATTATAAATATATCAAATGCAATTTTCTGTACATGTAACAATTTAAGCATCTTTGCCACGCATGGTCACGATTTTGATAAAACTTTACCAATCCTTAGTACTTGACACCATAAAATAACGCTGCTATGTGTCATGGTTACAGCCGAAGAAATTGAATTTGCCAGCTACTGTAAATCTTTATTGAGTTTTAATATAAAATAGAAAAAGCAAACAAACCATTCTCAAAAACGTGATACCTTGTTTCCATATATACTCTCAGGAAACTGGTATTCTGTTTAGAATATATATATCTAAGTAAGTGGAAACAAAGGGTACATTTGTTTTTATCAATTTGAAATGCTTATGGAAAAGGTTCTGTAAACACTAAAGGTAGATATTACATCATCAAACTAAATTAACAACTTAAGAAGAATGATAAAAATATCTGACCTTATGTAAATACATGTTGTACGTATGAGCAATATTAATCTATAAATTGCTCTAATGGTTGCCATGGTTACAGAGTAACCAAGTAAACTCAGTAACAAGATTGGAGTACACTGTAATGTTTTGTCTGATGAAGAACATGAAAATTCAAAACTGGCAATTATGCATCCTTTCTTTGCACCTTGCAACTTTAACAACATAAAAAAAAATGGCGGTGTAAACAGAAAATAACACACCAGTGGTTTAAAGTGATATTTTTGCTGTTTAAAAAATAATTGCCATTAAATAAAGAAACATTATTATATGAAACACCTTAAATAGTACTTATCTGGTAGAACTAAACTTGAATATCATATTGATAAAATTTGATGAGGTAAACTACACTGTTGTTTTGGTTACCAAAAAAAGAAAATGTTCTATTTTTTAAACCCCATGCGCAAGCTTCTTGCATTCAGTTAGAGATTTGATGATTAGTCAAATTTAAAAGTCAGTTTAGTTGTTCATAAATATCAATCATAAAAATTTTTGGGAATTTACATGTAAAGGTGCATGTACAGTGTACGTATCACAGGAAACAAAATATTTTTTTTAGCATATTAAAAATATTATATTTTTCTGCTTATTTCCATAACAGTGCTCTGTTTAATAAATTTGTTTTGAATTGCTTTAAATGAAAAAAAAATTAGGATCACTCTAACACCTTTAAAAATTGATCATCAGTTATATAAAAATGTGCTTTTATAGAAAGGTACATGTAGATTCAGATTTAAACATACATAGCGTAAGTTTGAAGGCTTTTTTGTGGTATAAAAAGCAAGGCATCCATTGCCAACCAAAAAAGAAATATCATAATCTGTCCTTGGTATATTTTTAAAGGCTCTTTTCTCATTTTTTAAATCTCATTCCTTCCATCATTTTTTTTCAGTTTTACATATATGACTTAAAAGGATTCAATGAATATATTCTTTCCTATGCATACTTTGTTACCATAGTAAATTATGTAAAACTTGATGTACCAAATATGTCTATCATGCATTTAAGACATCAGGCCTGTAATTGTTTGCTTTACAGCAAATTTTATTATGCGTCTTTAAACATGTTTTTATTAAAAATTTTAAGACATTTTGTAATGGTATATAACCGTAACAAATATCCATTTTTGCTTCAATTTGGTTGAGAGTATCAAGGACTTTCATCATTTAGAGTAAGAAGAAATTCTGAGACAATGCATACTTCATATTCTATATAAAATTTCAAGGTATTACAGAGAATATCTCTTAGTGTAAGTCCATTATTGACACTCTTATATATCTACAGTTTCTCCCGTTTCCCGATCATGACAAGGCGCATAAGGCGGCTCAGAGTGGTCGGGAGGGAAAAGTTTTTCCTCCATGGCACTTGATCCCACTTCTGATGATTTAGATATCACGTTTACTCTGCGTCTTATTTCTGTTGTTTAAATGGACTTCTGAGAATAGATGTTCGTTATCTTCAAATTTCATATGCCGAATCAGGCGCGGATCCAGGAATTGAAGTTAGAGGGGGCGCCAAAAGTAGGCAAGGGGTCTGGGGACCGCCTTGAGGCCCCCAGTGGGTCCAGGGCAAAGCCCTGGTGGGGGCCCATTGGGCGAATGCCCGGAAGCTCCTGGATTCTAGAGATTTTGTAGGGTAAAAATGAGGTCTACCAAGTATACATATTTACAATATCTAGACTAAACTGTGATTTACGTCAATTTTGACAATTTTAAGGGGGGGGGGCGCACCCGGCGCCCCCCTTAAATCCGCCACTGCGAATTAAATTTCATGTGGGAAGAAGCAGATGAATAAATTGAAACATAATAAATGGGTTTATAGAAACATAAAATGTGAAAAAACAACATTGAAATTCTTTTTTTATCATAAAATTTAAGATGTTACCTGACCAAATTGATGAAGTAATATCACTTAGTTGTAGGCTGTGATTCTTTTGAACCTTGCCAATATCTCTAATTTGCGTGCTCAAATTCATTTGGATCTCACGAATATCATGCATATCCCTCAATTGCGTACTATGGTTCTTTTCTTTCTTGCTGATATCCTCTAGTTGCATGCTGTAATTCTTTTGCTTCTCGTAAATATCCTTCAGTTGCATGCTGTAATTTTTTTGATTATTGAGGATATCTTTCAGTTGCATGTTAAAAATCTTTTGATTCTCTTTGGTATCAACCAATGTTTCATTTACTGAAACAAATAATCTTTCTAAACTTCCTCCAATTACTTTCAATCGTGTACCATAATCATCCAATGTGGACTGCATTTCTGTAATAAGCAAATTCGTGTGTGCGGCTTCTTCCGTTGACATATTCTTGTTTATTTTCACAGCCTCATTTAAAGCGTTTAACTCCTGACCTAAGTTAGCGTTTTTGATCTCCGAGTCCTGCTCTCTGTTTTCCAAACTCTGTAAATCTTTTATCGCCTCTTGAAGTCTTTTCTTTACATTTTGAGCAGTGTCCGTATTGTCTATCACATCCATGACAAGCTTTTGAATTTTCTGCACCATTGAAAATCGAACAAGACTTTCTTGATTTAATATTTCTCTTAAAACACTGGAGGTTTTTCCAGAGGTCGCACTAGGCATCAGATCTGTTTTCTCTACGACGCTTTTATCTGATTCAGTTGAGATACCCAATGTTCCATAAACAAACGTTATCAAATATATTAATTTTCTGAGCTCCATGGCTGTAAAAAGGTCTATCTTCACGCTCAAGTTAAACTTTTTCCCCTACTGGCAAAGTCGCCTGCTTATATAATGATAAAAAAAAGTATTTTTCTTCACGAGTAACGTGATGCGTTACGTATTAAAACGTCATGCCAATCAAACAGAAAAAGTTAACATTCTGAAATCTCGGTTCTTTTCTAAAATTTGTTTTAAATCTATATTTCAAAGTACTGAGGAAAAAAGTAGAAGACAAAAACGGTTTTTGTCCACAACAATGACGATTATCTTTGCTTGCCTTTGTCCTTTTACAACCAACAATTTGCATTTATTGAAGAGTCTATTTTTTTCTAGAAACAACATACATCTTTGCAAATTAAGGGTTTACCTCTGATTTTCTTTGCGATGTTCTTATATCAAAATATAATAAAAAATAGTCCTTACAAATGCTTAAGGCTGCGAGTCACTGTGTAACTGTCACTTCAGCGTCTATAAATTAATAAGCATAGCAATTAGAATGTTCCTAACATAACTCTTCGTTAGATATCGTGAGATTTTATATCTTTTTGTTTTACGTTTTCTACCATTATATTATTCTTTGTGACAATTTCAAGTATTTCATGTACATTTTGAGTTCAATTT